CAGCAGGATGATTTAAAATGTGGTGACTATGGCTAGAAAGAAAGCTCCAGTAAAGCTATGGACTGTAAATACAGAGCTAAGATCTTGCTGAGAAGGAACAGGAAAAAAAAAAAAAAAAAAAGACGGCCTGGCAGCATCATAGGAAGTAATGGCAGTCTGTACCTTTTGCAGCCTCAATTCTGTAAAAGTGAAAGATTTGGCTTGGAGCCGGTTGCAGAGCACCATGTTCAGGATGGCAGCAGAGGCCCCACGCAAGGTTTCAAAATGGTGGCAGCTATACCAGGTACCTGAATAGTGGCAGCATAAAAATCTGTTCCTTACAATCAAGTTTAGAGTGCTTAGTGATCCATGCACTTGATCCCTACAGTCAAGAGACAGGAAAGCCTGGCTAACTGCTCCAGTGGGCAGCAGACCTTGGCATTATCCAAGTGGTGCATACAGAATGCAACAGTTGTGCCATTAAAAAAGCTTCCTCCTCAATTTCAAAAGGCCTGGGAGGTCAGGCAGTATGCCCTTGAGAAGTCAGTATGTGAAGATGTGAGTGTGAAGCCAAAGGCAAAGTGCAAACTGAAAGCTATAAGTAGAAAGCAAAATGGGCCTAAGAGAGAAGCTATGGAAACTACAACCACTAGAAGCGCCAGAGGGGTGGAGTCACACAAGCCCTTTGGAGCTCACAATTTGCTACAGATTGTTTAAGATGCCGAACATGCAACTACCAGACTTAATGTTTGCCCTGCTGAATTCTGGACTTCCTTTGGTCCCATTCGTTTATGTTCCCATTTGTACCTTTTGGACTGGGAATGGTTATCTTGTACCATTGTATGTTGGAAGTGTTTAACTTTGTTTTCCTTCATACAGAGTTTGCCTTAGATTTCAGAGGAGACTAGGGACTTGAACTTTATAACAAGGCTAAAACTGTTAGGATTTAGCAACACTTGGACATGACTAAATGTGTTTTGCAAAAAGGATGTACATGAGTCTTTGGGGGGGGGAGGGGTGGAATGTTATGGTTTGTCTAAATGTCCCCCTAAAACTTCATGCAGTCATAGAGGTGGCTGAATCTAGCACTTGTGATTGGATCATTCTTAGGGACTGCGATTGGTGATGTGAATGCTGCACCGGACCAGGGGCAAGTAGCCAGCATACAAAATAAGGGATGGATGGAGGTGTGCTTTTCTCCTTTTTGCTCTTGATTCTTGCGGTTGCCATACATGGCTGCCCCTCAGCCATGCCACCCTGCCTTGGAGCCAGCTGGGTATGGACTAAAACCTCTCAAAACTGTAAGCTAAGTAAACCTTTCCTTTCCTCATTTTGAGTGTCAAGTATTTTGGTTCAGCAATGAGAAGAAAAGTAATCAAAACAAGGAAATAACTAACAATAAAAGAAAATAACTAACAATTCACATTAATAATAATGAAAATTTATCTTTTGAAAATAATGGAGAGCAGGGCATGGTTGCACACAACTGAAATCCCAACACTTGGAGGCTGAGGTAGGAGCACTACTGTGGGTTCATGGCCAAACTGGGCTACATAAGTGTAAGGCAAGCTTGAACTACATAGGGAGACTGTCTCAACCTACTTCCCAAATAACAAAGAAATAAAAATCTTTCATGATAAAAGGAATCTAAAGATATTAATGATCACTAAATCAGCATTACAGAAAATGTTCAAGAGAATTCTAAACACAGACAGCCAGTCTAAGATTAACAAAGATCCCAAAGTAAACAGTTCATCTAGCTGAGAAAGTATTTAAAGAAAATGAAAATAGAAAAGGATCTGTACTGGAAAAAATGCTATGAAAAGAATCAGTAAATACTTATTAATAATAATATCCAATGTCTATGGTCTTAACTTCCCAATCAAAAGACACACTGGCAGATTCAACTAAAAAAAATCCAGAGCTGGGTGTGGTGGCACATGCCTATAATCCCAGCACTCTGGAGGCTGCTGCAAGTTTGAAACCAGCCTGGGCTAAAAAAAGGGTTTAAGGCCAGCCTGAACAGCAAAGTGAAACCCTGCCTCAAAAAGACAAAACAAAACAAAACAAAACAAAACAAAAGCCCATTTGTTGTCTCCAAAACCATACCTCATCTACAAATAAACACAGCACTGAAAGTGAAAGGATGGGAAACTATTCTAAGCAACAGGGAACAAAGCAAGCAGGAGAGGCTATTCTATTTTCAGACAAAATGAACTTCAAGCCAAAAATGATCAAAAGAGACAAAGAACATCACTATACATTGCTCAAGGGAATAATTCCACAGGAAGAGATAACAACTGTAAATATATACACACCAACTGATGGTGTACTCAGTTTCATAAAACAAAAACTACTTGACATAAAGGACAGATAGATATCATAATAATCATAGTGGGTGATCTTCAATACCCCAATTCTCACAAATAGACATGTAAACAAAACAAAAGCATAACAGAGAAGGAGCTGAACCATATCACTGAACAAATAGACTTAACAGATCAGTATTTTATCCAATAATAACAGAATTCACATTTTTCATACCAGCCCATAGAACTTTCTCCAAAATAGGTCACATCTTAGGTCACATTTACATAAATACAAAAGAATTCAAATAATCCTCTGCATACTCAGATCACTAAGGAATGACACTAGAAATCAACAGCAAAAGAAAACAAAAACAGTAGGCAAACTCATGAAGATTAAATAATATATTTTAAAATAGTCAATAGGTCAGAGAATAAATTAGAGAAAAAATTAAGTGGTCCTAGAATCAAATGACAATGGCAGTACAACATACCAGAATCTATGGGACATAATGAAAGCAGTTCTACAACAGAAGTTTTTATCTATATCAGAAAACATAACAATTGCAAATAAATAACTTAATGATGTATCTGAAGATCCTAGCAAAACAAAAACAATTCAAATCTAAAACTAACAGAAAGAAATTGAAAACATCAGGGTGGAAATTAACTAAACTGAGACTAAAAAATACAAAGGACAGGGAATCTAGAGTAAATGTATAAATGTCCAGAAACATATGATTTACCAAAATTAAACCTGAAAGATATAAAACTTTGAACAGACCAATAATAGGCAATGAAATGTAAACTAATAAAAACTCTACCAACTAAGAGAATCCAAGGGCCACCACTAAAACAGATTCGCCAAAGAACTGTACCAGAACGTCAGAGAAGACATCAATATTTCTCAGGTTTTTCCATTGAAATTGAAGGAGAAGAAACACTGCTAAACTAATTCCTTGAAGCCAGTATTACCCTAATACCAAAAGAATATTACAGGTCAGTATCTTTAATGAAAAAGATGCAAAACTCCTCAACAAGATATTTGTAAAAAGAATAAAACAAATCATTGAAAAATATCACATATTGTACTCTTCATTACAGGAATGCAAGGATGGTACAAAGTATATAAATCAATATATGCAATACACCACATAAACAGAAGGATAAAAATGACATGAATATCTCAATAGGTGCACAAAAAATCTTCAACATTATCTAATATCCACTCATGATAAAAAAATAAAATCCTGACAAAAATAGGTGTAGAAGGACTTTATCTCAAAGAGCTAAAAGCCATTATGACAAACACACAGCCAATAGCACACTGAATAGGAAGCAACTGAATGCATTTCCCTCTAAAATCAAGAAAGGGACAAACATGTCTACAATCATAACCATAGAACCCATCAAGTTCTATAGTTCTCAAAAGTTTAACCAGAGCAATAAAACAAAATGAAATAAAAGGAGTATGAATAGGAAAGGAAGAATTCAAACTATTTTTACTTACATATGTTACAGTAGACTCATAGAATAAACAAATTTAGCAAGGTGGTAATAAACAAAAACAACACACAAATACCAACAGCATTCTTGTACATTATTAATGAACCTACCAAAAAAGAAATTAAGAAAGCAACCCCTTTCACAATAGTGTCAAAAACTTAAATTCCTAGGAATCAACCTATATAAAGTAAGAGTTCTATTATAAAAGCTATAGTACATTAAGAAAGAGATAGAAAAGGACATTAGAAAATGGATACACTGCTCTTGTTGCTGAATTGGCAGAACCAATATTATGAAAATAAGCTTATTACCAAAAACTGTATGTATCTACATATCTATCTATCTATCTATCTATCTATCTATAGAAGGCTCCATATTGCATGGCTTCTCTTATATGAGAAACACAAAATAAAATTTAAAATGCAAAATTAGGGAGGAGTGGCAGGAAAACAGGAAGATAGACTTTTTGAAGATGGGGGAGGGGATCTTTGCAAGGAGGGGAGAGAGGAGGGAGAAGGGGATCAAAAATGACCAATCAAAACACAAAATTCTATCATTGGCAGTAAAATGGATGGGTCTTGGGGTCACCATATTAAATAAAAATAAACTAAACATAAAAGAAAAAAAAAACTACATGATCTCACTCATGTAGAAGATAAAAAGTCTATCTCACAGAAGTCGAGAATAGAAGAGGGATTTCCAGATGCTGGGAAGGGTAGTAGGAAAAAGGGATAGGAAGGGCTGATTCATAGATACAAAAATTGTTTGATAGAATAAAGTTCAAAAGTTCTGTAGCAGAGTAGGGTAAATATAATTAGAAATAATTTATCTTATATCTCAAAATAGTCAGAGGGTGACTGGGTATTAGTAGTAGAGGAATTTCCTAGCATGTGCAAGGCCCTTGGTTCAATATCAAGCACATAAAGAAAAAAAAAGTAGCAGAAAGGACTTTGAAAAAGTTTCCACCCAAAGAAATAGTAAATACTTGAGGTGACAGATTCACTAATTACCTGAGTTGATCATTATAATACTATATAAAAGTATCACATTGCACTTGATAAATGCGTATTGTGTCAATTTAAAAAAAGATAGAGTAAACTAAGATCTACTTTTTCATAAAGGAAGCTACAAAAAAATCAAGCACTGCGCTGGATGGGTTGACAGATTCGCAGGTATTAGGATTGAGGCCTGGCTTAGAGAAAGTCTTACCAGGTTGATTGCATCACAGTGGTCAATTCGGCGGTGGGCTGTATTCAGGTCACCCAGAATGATCACATGGCTGAAAAATACAACTTGGGATTGTCAACCAGATATTCAAGAAGGGAAGAAAAATTTCTGTACCATATACTTTTCATCAGGTTCAAGGGCTCAGACTGCCAACCACAACACTGAAGCTTTAGCCAACAGTCTAGTCACTCTACTCGTAACTGACCACGTCTCCCACTGTGTTGTAACCTGAATGTCTTTCACACCTGATCAACCAAAGTCAGCTCTATTTTTTTTGGTACTGGAGATAGAACTCATGACCTCACATTTACCAGGCAGGTACTTATGCCTCTGAGCTTAATCCCCAGCCCCAAAGTCTGAGCTCTAAATGTGATACTGTTTCCTGTTTGACACAATATCTTAATGATCTCTATCTAATGCCATATTTCTTGTCCTTCAAAGCTGAGCTCAAGGTACTACTTAGCTCCTCTTGGAAGTACCTCTGAGTTCTCTAACCTACCCTTACTTCCCTATTCCTTCTGAAACAAAACTTTACAAGTACTTCAAGACGCTCATCTTAATTCTTAAACTACACTGTGAGGTAAAGATTCATACACTTAAACTGACAAAAAACATAGGCAAGACTAGTACCTTTTGGGTCAGAAAGTTCAAGGAGTAACCGGGATAGGTGCTATTTTTGTTTTACTTTGTCTTATTCTCACAGCTCTTAAGAAAGCAAGGTCTATTCAATTAGGCATAGCAATGTCTGCAATTATGCTGTGCAGGAACTTAAAGATTCCATATGTCTTCCAATGAAGTGTAACATGGGGCTAGGCATCCTAAGACAGGCTCAAGGAAGCACAGCTGCTCACTTTGTAGTACCTGCCAGCTGCCAGAAGGGCTTCTGCTCGGTTCTGTAGCAAGCGACAGAAACGCATCTTGAAGGTCAGTCGTTCAGGCTTCTCAGGGTCCACACGGGGACAGTACACATTGATTAGGGTCAAGGTCCTCTCCTTCCCTTCCCAGGTTCTATGGAGAATATGGAGAATACCCTAAATGAGTCAATTTAAAGCCTCCCTTCCTGTACCTACAACCATATAGCTTTCACTTAATAACTTTCCACAAGGCTGGAGAGACATGAATGAGCAGACACACACAGGACTTGGAGACAGACTACAAGTCAGACAGGAAAACAGTCATGTAGGATGACACCCAGGTAAACCAGGTGATAATGGTGCTATTTATGAAAATAGCAACATCCAGAAAGAGCAATTTGAGGCAGTGAGTTACTTTTAATGTACCTGTGGTAATAAGAGATAAGATCATCAGGCCATTCTCCATTGTAGTATGCAAATTCAAGGCTCAGACAGGAACATGCTTTGTCAGGGTCACATAGTAAGCAGCCTAGCTGGGACTAGAGTCCCAGAAACTTTATAGTGAATCCATGTTTACAAGGCAAATCTTAGAATTACTATACTAAGAGTAGAACCCACAATGTTCAGTAGTAGGGAGATATGGGCTATTACCGGATCTTGTGCTGTGTAAGGAGGGCTCGGCCTTCACTATCCAAAGCCCGGAGCTCCTCTTGGGTGAATTCATCCATGTTTCCATAGCAACCCACATTCCCATTCTGGGTGGCAAGCAGGCCACTCAAGCCTTCTTCAGCAGCCACTGGGGTAGCACTGTCCTTACAGAAGGTAGCTACACCTGTGGACAGAGAGAGTACTCTGAACAGGACTGGTTACACAGTCTACCCACTCCAGTTATTCCCACACAAGATGCCTGATCATCTTTTTAAAATATGGCTCTTTATTTTTCATGTATTGAAAACTCTCCCAAGGGCCACAGATGGCTCCCTAGTGTCTGGGGAACTTGATGCTTACCCTGGAGCCTCAATTTCTTCATCTAAAAAGGGCACAAAATAATATTAACACCTAATAGCAACATGTGTTTTACACCTAATACTAACATATGTTTTACATGGATACATGCTCATACAGTATTAGCTATTTTTACTACATGGATTAATACATTTACATTATTCTCATTCTCTCACTGTGAAACTTGAGGCACAAAGAGATAAAGAAACTTGCTAAAGAGCACACAGTTAGGAAGTGAGCCATGACTTGCACCCTAGCAGTCTGGCACTAGAGCTTACCCAGTTAACTGCTGTGCTTCTGAGGTGCAACAGGAAAATTCTGTACATTAAAAAATCATACTTCATGTAACTTAATTTTATAGGGCTTTAGGTGCACGGACTAAAAGTCCAAAGTTACTATCTTCTCATCAAATAACAAATAGAAAACCTTTCCCCTTATCTCTCTCTATCACTAAAACTAATTTTAAGTCCCTTAGAAAACCCCATTTACCAGAATAGCCACTACGGTTGCGACTGCAGCTGAAATAGGAATTATAGCCCTCAACGACAGCCAGAGGCTCTGTCAGCACATCCCCTGGGGAAAAAATGTAATATTAATTCAAAGGGTTAAACTTGTGTCCAGGACACAGAAAGCCCTGGATTTGGTAAATTGTAGGCTAATTTATTAGCACACATCAGTGTTACAAGTATACAATAACATTAGGTACAGGTATCTATGATTAGAGGAGCTAGAAAGGTACAAAAGAGAGGGTACCGATACCAAAATTAGAAGGTAAGGAAGTAGAAATTCTATAGGGTAGGAGATACAAAATTAGGAAGGAGAGGATCAGAGTTAATCTTAGGGGTCTGAGTGACAGAAGGGAGAGTTGGGAAATGGTAATATGGAACAGAAAACTGGGAATTTTAACTAGGAGTAAGAAGCCAGAGCAAGGGAATTAGGTAGGGGATCTGAAGTAGGGACTGACGAGGGTAACAGAAATTAGAAGAAATTTGGTGGTGTGAGATCCGGTGGGAGAGGACAACTGAGGAGGTCTAAGCTCGGGATGAGAGATAAAGGCGGAAGTAGTGGCCTCTCAACAAAGAGAGACAGGGATAGATACAAGAAATTGGTGACCTTGGAGGCAAGTAAGAGTCTGAGCTGAGGCAAAGATGGGGTGGCAATTAGATATCTGAGCAGGGGCTAGAGACAAACTGAAGGCTCTGATTTGGGGGTCGAGACAACAGTGTATGGAGGGAGGAAACTCAAAGAACTGAGTTGGGACAGGATGGTAGAATGAGTGGACGCCCTTTTAAGAAAGAGGCAATTGGGGCCTGGGGATTTAGCTCAGCGGCATAAGCGCCTGCCTTGCAAGCAGGCAGTCGTGAGTTCGATCCCTGGTACCGATAAAAAGGAAAAAGAAAGAGGCAATTAAAATTCTGCCGAGGACAGGAGATGGAATAGGATTTGAGAACCTACTAGAAAGGAGTTGAGAGGAAAGAGATCCGGATTTGAGGTCCAAGGGCAGAACTCTCAAGTTACAGGAAATAGAAAAGTGAAATGACTGGGACAAGAGGCAAAAGTTGACGGAAAAAAAAAAAAAAAAAAAACATGAGAGAAATGCTGGATTCTTGAACGCTCACTGGTCACTTTGGTTTCCTGGAGACAGACGATATCTGCGGCCAGTTCCTCCAAAGTACGTTTCATGGTCACGTTGGCGAAGTTGTTGGATTCCTGGCACACTGCCCCTTGCAGGGGACTCCGGATTCCATTGATATTCCAGCTCACCAAGCGCAACATCTCGGAGAAACCTCACTCGGAAAACACTACTTGCTAAAAATTGGCCAGACACCGCCTCCCTTTCGCGTTTGCGTAGGCGTTGTCTTGCGTGCCCCCGGAAGGACTTGACATTCGCGGGGCGGGATTTAGAGCCGCTCGGACGTTAGCGGAAGGCCGAATGAGGTGGATGCTGAAGGGGCAAGTCTGATGTAAAACGAAAGCTGAGTGGTGACAATAAGGTCTTCGAAGGGTTGGGCTCCTGCTCCTTTAAATGCCCACTGGCTGAAACACTTGAGTCTGACTGTATTCTGTTTCTCTTCTGTTCAGAAGTAGCGTGGTGCTTCTGGTTACTTATATGCAGGATTGCGTCACTTGTTAAGCGGCGGAACTCAGCGGAACCTCGCTGCTGCTGAAATCCCGGTCCCCAGCCTACCGACCGCCTACCCAAGTATGTGTTGTATTGAGACGCCTGCGCTCCAGGAATCTCTGGTGCAGTCTACTCTCTGCAGGGGCGAAGCAAATTTAGCGAACTTGCAATTTGGGAACAGAGCAGTAAGAACCGCTCTACTGGGATATGACATAGAAGGATGGCTTTTGGCTAAATTGGGGCAGGAAGAGACTGTCTCAAATCTACCTTGTCACATTTGTCTTGGACCTCATTGCATCTAGAAGGATGGGCCAGAATCATGTGCTTTTGACTCTATTTCTCAGATAAGTAACATGGAGGTCCAGAAAAATTTAAACTGCAGAGCACTGCTGTCTTCTGATGTATCCACATAGCTTTTCCGTCTGCATTATCGTATTTCATTTTCTGAACAACCCAATAAGGAGCATTGAAACCAAGTAACAGAGGTTGAGTGATTTCACCTCAGTTTCACAGATGTGGAGCCAGGATTCAGACTCAGTGAGTTGGCCTGAGGAGTTTTTACTGACCGCACAACCCAGATCTATTTAAGTCTTTTACTTTTGACCCCCACAACACCTTATGGTTCATTCTGTCACAGCAGTGACAATACACAGTTACCATCAGTTGTTTGGAGACATGGTCTTGCTATGAAGTTTAGGCTGGTCTTGAATTCACTATGTAGTCCAGGCTGGCCTCCAATTCATGGCGGTCCTCCTGCCTCAGCCTCCTAAGTGCTGAGATTACAGGCATGTCCCAGGATGCCTAGTTGATTTCCATTTCTGTAGCCATTAGATTGCGACTAACTTGGGAGTAAGGACCATAGCTGATTCATCTTGTTAGTTCTGATTTCTAATACTAGACACAGCAAGTATTAGGAGGGAATAAATATTTGTTAGATAAACAAAGCAGTAGGAATAGTTGCATGGCTTGTATTGAGAGCATAAAAATAGAAATAATAAGACATGTCCAGTGTCCTTACGGTTATCATCCAAAACCACAGCATAATTATTTTTCTCCAGTACTTCACAGCCTTACAACCACTATCCTTAATTGCTACAGAAAAATACAAACAAACAAAAAAAAACATTGAGCTGCTTTTCTCCTAGAGGACTTAAAATCACTTCCTTGTTTTGCCATCAGAATATAGCTCTGTACTTTTAAAAAAATGTGCCTTGAGCTGTTTTCCATGATTTGGGAGTTACTGACTCAGATTGAATCCCAGGAGTGGGGTAACTAGGACAAAGGAAATGAACATTTTTATTGCTCTCGCTTCATATATCAGACTGCTTTCCAGTAAGGGATTGTGCCCATTGAACACTGAAGACCTGTGTGAAATTCAGCTCCAAGAAACTCTGAACCTTGCTTGTCTCAATAGTTGGTTTAAATTTCTCCATTCTGCCATTGCTTGTTAATATTAGTTCTGACCTTTGGGGCAAGGTGAACACATGGTTGGACTGAAGAGAAAAAGCTCCAAGTGGCTCAGGAACTTCTTTGGCAATTACAGCAGCTGATATTTCCACAGTACACAAACACCCCTTAACAAGAGTGCTTCCTCAGCCTTCCCAGAAGCCAACGAACATTTCCAAGTTTCCTCTTTGATGCCACCCACTGGACTTGCTTTGGAGGTCTGTAAATGCAAGAGAGCAGATTGTTGGATAACTAGGAATGGAAGAAAAATTCTCTAAGAGAACAGGTATGTGATAAAGAAAAAGTAGGAGTTATACAAATTCATTCTTTGGGCTCTCAGAAAAGTTTTCTTTGCATACATTGTTAGTAGAGGTAAGCGTTAAATGATATAAGAACAAATCTATAGCTAATCTATGTATATTTTTATATACTTTGATTTGAATTTTTAGGACATTGACCTAATGAGAAATTCCTCAGCACCTTTGAAGTTTCTCCAGTTTATTTATAAAGTCTGGTTTTAAATGAAATGTGGGATAGAGATTATATCTCTTACCTTTTGTCTGGTGCACAGAGTCGATTTTTTTATGATACATTGAACAAGCTCTCTAGTTCCTCTATCAGTAGCCTTCTCCATTAAATGGAAATTAAAGTTCCTAGGCTACTTTCCGCAGAAGGCTGCCTGAATATCAAGAGGGGTGGGAAGACAGGTTGCAGAGTTCTTTGAAGACATTTTAGGACTTCTATGCTCTGTTTGAGATTAGCAAACCTGCTTTTTTTGTAGTGTATACAGGCAATATCACCCACAATCCTCTACCTACTCTTTTCCCTGAGTGACTGTGATTTGTGGAGAGCCACACCTAGCAAAGGATGCAGCAAATTTTGGGGCACAAGCATGGGGCTGAAAACAGGGGGATGGTCACCTGGGGCAGTGGCTCAAAAAGAAGTGGATCCTGAGCTGCTGCCACACAAGGCCTGATGTATACTTATGCATACATCTAACCTTTAAACATGGCCTAGCTTCCCTCAGCGTTCTAATCCTCTATAAATGCTTCCATATGCAAACACTTTGAGAATTACCAATAAGGTGACCTCATTTGTAACTTTATTGCTCATCAGTGCTGTTCTGATGCTTTACATGAGATTCCTCCCCCAAACCCCTTACTCGAAGTGCTTCAAGATCTGTATGTCTTAGGAAAGCACATTGTATACTTTTCTTGCCTGGAAATAGCCCAATTTTAGAATTAATGACTCAGATCTTAGTCCTAAATGAGAATCTGTTATTGATGGAACCCTATTTCTGCAACTAATTCATTGGACTTTCTCAGGGAAGATTTCATTCTTCTATTTATTCATTTTTGCCCCTTTTAAAGTTGAGAGTCCTTTCTAGATACCACCTTCCACTTTAGACCAAGTCAAGTCCTCAGTCTACTCTCCTGCATAGCTCTCTTTATCTTGTTGAACTTACATTAATTGTCCACATGTTTATTTCATTTGGTTGTAGAGATGTAGACTGTACAAATACTCACTGATCAAGTGTTTTCTTTGTGCCAATGCCTGGGCCAAATACTAGAAATAGATCACCAAAATCCAGTCTCCATTCTCAAGGATCCCACAGTCTAGTAGAAAAGCAGACAAGAGAATCATTGATGGATACATGCTGAGATAAATAGAGATAACATGGGCAATGCGACAACAAAAGACAAAACCTCTCCTGAAGATACAGAGGTGACTTGCTGAAGGAGGTGAATGTTAAAGCAGGACTTGATGAGTAAATCAGATTTCATGAGAATGGAAAAGAAGAGAAGGCATTCTAGGCTGAGCAAAAGCCCAGAGATAGGAAAGCATGTGGTATGTTTTGAGGCTCAGTAAATCAGCCACTGCAGTTTAAACATAGTGAGAAGGCTGGACAGGCAGGTTGGAACTTGATTTATAAGAGGCTTGAATGGTTGAGGCCTTTCTATAAAAATTGTCTTTTGTTTTCTGCTTCTGTGATCAGAATTGGTAATAGCAGTACAGAATCTCATACTTCAACATAGCTTTAAATTGGTTTTTCAAATCTGGACTCCAGATTTACCCTTTCAGACCTTGTCATAAAGCCTGCTAGCTGACTATCTCAGATTTCTTGCTACTAAAATTATCTTGCTTCTCGGCAGGATCATGAGGATAAAATTGTGAACATAAGACACATGTTCATGTGACTGGTTATAGATCACCTTTGACAAGCAACTTGCCCATCCCAGATCTCCATTTATAATGAGTGTGTTTATAGGGAACAAATATGATAAGGGCTATGTTGTTACATTGTTAACAATAGAATTCATACAAGAAAACATCATCAGTAAGATTATTAACATTAATGGAGTTATACCAGTTAGAAGACTTATTAGAATTAAGACAGTTGTATGTCTTCCAAAGTATGATTAGCTCATCTGGAAAACTACATTTAAAATTTTAACTTTGAATGGACACATGTGATACCATGTGATATTTCAGTGCATGTGTACAATGCGCAGTGATCAGAGCAGGGTAATTAGCATATGTATTACCTCAAGCGTTTATCATTTCTCTAGAAACATTCAGAATCCTCTCTGCTAGCTATTTTGGAATATACAATAAATTGTCACCATAGTTTTGCTACCATGCTATAGAACATTAGAAATTATTCCTCATATCCAGTTATATTACATATCTGTTTACCATTTTTTTCTATTCCTTCTCCATCCTAACTTCTAGTAACCACTGTTATGCTCTCAACTTCTTGGAATCAACTCTTTTACCCTCCTCATGTAAATGAGAACATGCTATATTTACCTTTCTGTGTTTGCTTAGTTCATTTAACATAATGTGAAAGGCCATATTCTTAAATCAAGCGAGCTTCCTCAGTGTACCAAAGAAAAGCCACGAATTGGAAGTAATTGGATTGCCAGTGTTCTATTTTTGACTTGGCCACTGATTTTCTGTGTGACTTTGGAAAAATATTTCCCTTTTCTGGGCCTCAATTTCTTTTTACTTAAGAAGATGGAGTACAGTGACTTATGGGGGCTTATCTTCTTTTCCATAACTCTTCACATACAACTAGGAAAGTAAAAATGATTCGTATTTTTAATTTATTCTTAAGTTCTTTATATTGTAAATGTTTGCCTTAATATTATATATTTTCTTTACCAAAACAACTACTGATTAGTGAAAGGAGTGATTGATCATTTATTTCAAAAAGGAAATAACAATATTAGATAATAGATATTTAGCATTTTCAGTCTGCTTTACATGTATTAATACATAAAATCTTCAACAAACCTGAGCTGTAGGTACTCCTGTCATTCTCGTGTTCCAGACTTTAAAAATGGAGCACTGAGAAGTTCACCTATTGACTATCAATGGGAAAAACTGGAATTCTATTCAGTTGATGTGTCTCCAGAACCAATTGCTCTTAACCACTGTGATCCACTGCCTCATTAGGTTCATCTAGTTATATGGACTCTTAATTTTGAAATTCTAACATAATTTATACACAGCAACTCTAGGGAGTCTAACACTTGCATAGACTAAGGTGTCTGATAATGTGTTTATCTTAAAAGGCAAAATAGAGCTAAAAGCATTTGATGGCAGGGATTGGGGATTTCTATCCCCAAGAGAGACTGTCCTTGAATAGCCTGGCTCAATGGAAGAAAGTTATTCTTCCTAATAGCCAATCAGTAGAGGTTTAGCAGGGGGTGGGAAGGTTACAAAAGAATGAAGTAAGAACACACTTGGATATCTTCCAGGCAAGCATGAGTTCTACAGATAAAAGCCTCAAAATAACTAGGAGTAGGGGGCAGGGAAAATGGAAGTAGTTAAGGCAAAACATCTGGGAGGAATTGCTCTTTCCCATTCACTATTAGGATTATCCACCCTTATGGGCCATTGCTTTTTGCTGCCTACACTTTCCTGGTTGCAGTCTCTACCCTTCTATGCCTCCATTCCAACAGCTTGGCGTGAAGAACTTCAGCTAAGTTTGGATTAGATCATGATTCTTATATCCCTAGAGCATATCATGGCAGTTGGCCTCCATGTAAACAGTGCTTACTATTTCTTCTCTCAGCAGTGGCTGCACTCACTCTCCTTTCCAAAGTATCAGGTTCAGTGTTGTATTTAGCCTCGGCTGGAGAGAATATAAAGATGATCACACAGTGCCTATCTCTCCAGGAGTGCCTCACGCAGCATGCTGTAGAAAGACTCCATGGTAGGAAAAGCAGAATCCAGGCAAAAATAAGAGTTGTGGTACCATTTTGGGTGGGAGAGAGCAGTGAGGCAGTGAACTTTCCACTTCCAGTTTGGGTCTTTAATTGCTAGCACAAAACATTTCATTTTTCATTAGAGTCTGGGTTTTTGTTCTTGGGACCCTTATGTTTTTGATGATTTCTGATATTGATGTTTGTTTCTGAGTTAGACCTTGATATTCTACTTAGGTCCAATTTATTATCTCAAATCTGAGACCTACCTCCATTTCTTTTGCTTTGCTACCCCACATAGGATGTAAGCACATGATCTTTGGTCTTTTATTTGCATAACCTACTAGTCCTCTCTTCATTGGCAGGAAGCGACTGGCCAGATCTGGGCTGTCTTTCTGACTGCCTTCCTTGCTGGGCTCTAATTTATCTCCTATGTACATGGTCCTTAGAGTTCAAAAGCCTCTGCTGACTTCTGCACAATCTCACTCTCAGCATCTAAGCCCCCTCTGATACATATAGGAGCATGGGCAGACTGAGACTACAGGAAAAAGAAGAGTGGGCTGGTCACAGTCTGTGAGAGGCTCAGAAACCCACTGTACCCCCATCCCAACTCTTTTCACCTGTTATTGTGGCTACAGCAACAGGAAGGACAGCTAGGAAGATATGAAGTGAGACCCAGTACCCTATAGGGGGTGGTGTCATTAGCTGCGACGCCCGAGATGTCTCAAGAGATGGGAGAGCTCACACAAACCAGGTTGCAGAAGATCTGGATTCCACATAGCAGCGGCAGCAGCAGTCTGCAACGGCGAAGGGGCTGTAAGTGGGGTTTACTTCTGTGGGCTTCAAGGTGGTGGTAATAGAGTGGGTGTAGAAGAGCATAGAATGCCCCCATCAGATCTCACTGTAATCCAAAATTTTGAATAGATGGACAGTTGAAGGAAATAGCTATCGGATGACAAGAGACAAATGTCAATAAGGTGAGAAAAGACCAAGACAGATGGAAAGGAAGAAGACAAAGACTAAGAATTAAAGACCATATTAATCACAGGCATCTTTGACCAGAAACTTTCTTTTT